GACTTAAGGCTTCTTTTTAAATGATCCCATAAATGTTCGATAGGATTGAGGTCGGGACTCATTGCTGGCCACGGTAGTACCGTAATATTGGCTTCTGAAAGTGCTCTCTGAGTGATACGAGCCGTATGCGAGCGGGCATTGTCTTGCATGAAGACGGAGTTTTCACCGATACTTTGCCTAAATGGGATGACATGAGGTTGGATTACACGCTCGATGTAACTGGCAGCAGTTACGGTGCCTTCTTCCAAAAATACCAGCTCAGTTTTGCCTATTAAACTGATTCCATCCCAAACCATTACACTTGAACCCCAGAAACGATCTGTTCCGTGAATGCAGGCTTTTGAAAAACTTTCGCCTTCTTTTCTCCACACGCGGACTCGACGATCGTCACTAAAAAACTTCACTTTAGATTCGTCTGTAAACAGTACTGTCCTCCAGTTGTCCATGGTCCAATTTAGTGTTCGCGAGCAAATTTTAACCGCGCTGTATAATGTGCCCTTGTCAACTTGAGCCGGATTACTCGCATTCTGGATCGCTGGCCATCCTCATGAAGTCTATTGCGAATGGTTTGATCACTTACTCGCGTGCCAGTAGATTAGCGAAAACGATTTTGTAAGGCCCGAGCGGCTATTGTACGCTCTCGACGTGCAGTCAATCGGATATAACGGTCTTCCTGGTCGGTGGTAGCTCGAGTTCTTCCTGTTCCCGCTCTCCCAGCAACACTACCAGTCTCTTGGTAGCGTTCCCATCCTATTGTCACTGATCTCTGTGTCCTCCCTGAAGCATAGCCACCGCTCTTGATGCTGTTTCCCGACGGCAAGAACCAGGCATAATGATCGCAAATAACGTGGAAAATAAAACAACAAGGTGCAACAGGAACAGTCAGATTGAGACTGGGAACACCAAGTAATTGGGAATTTTAAAATTGGACGATCATTACGGCACTTCACTTTTTTGTTTACTCACTTAAGAATAACATTTTAACTTGTCGCTTGAAACATTGATAAAGATTCGCAAACATGTCAACATTAAGTTAAAATGCTTCAAACTCGCCAATAATTACCCTTTATATTTTTTTTAGACATAATGCGGGATTATTTATGGGTGGGCCCTATTTTGTTTTGAGTAGTTTATAATCTACGGTTGTTGTTTGTTGTAAACTTTCTCATAAAACTAGCTCAGTGTTGGTTAAAAGAAATGAGAAAATTATAGTTCGACAGATTCTCAGAAATATCTTAACGCACGTCATGTCTCAGTCATTACCTTTCGTCTCAATTATGGTTTGAAAAAATATGCAGAATAGACACTATCAGATTCTTAAAACTGACACCAAACGCACGCCAAGTCTCAGAAATGGACGCGAAATACAAATACCTAGTTGGTATCTAGTCGAATAATAGTTTGCAAATGAAGCAGACAACTCACACACTCACGTACGACGAACATAGCACTTTGATATCGTTGTTAGAACTTGTGAAAAGTGAGGGTTGACATCTCTTGTAATAATATCGTTGGTTGACCTGACAACATGGGCTTTTTGGCGACGTTTTTATTAAGTACACTTTTGCGCCCTTTATGAATTAGGTACTATAACTTTTTTAAATAAGTTGATGCATTGCAACAATGCAGATACTATTTGATAGAAAACTCCTAGTTAAACGCTTACTGATTTAACAATGCGTGCTAGTTTAACACATCGGCTTTAAATTGTAATGAAAACTGACAATCACAAAAAGATCCTTTGAAAGTAAGAACATAATCATACATATCATACTGATTTTGTAACACGTGGCAGGAATAGACGGCACGGCGCGCATAAAGTAAACAATCAAGGAGAAATACTTAAAAAATACAGAGCTTTAATTTTCAAATGCATAAATAATTATATCTGTACACGTGATTTTGACTTTACTTTATATCTCTATATAAAAAATATAAATTTCAGTGAAGAAATATATGAAATAATAATAAATAATCATGAAACAAATGTAAAACATGCTCTATTTGTGTACCACATTTCCAACAAAACCATTTATACTTTCGGATTATTCATAATGCATAATCTATCGAAGCTTCACATGAACGGTCTTGAACTCCTCTGAATTTTGTTAGGTATTTTCTAAGTGAGGCGAACAGAGGCGAGGCATGGAACTTGTGCCGCATTCTCTTATAGTTTATTAGTCGGACTTGCGTCATCATGACGTATGGGGCGACGTTTTAAATACAAAACACGTGCTTATAGACACTGACAGTGGAAGTTCGAAGCGTGCAACAATGTATGGATATTTATGTATGAACGTACACTTTACAACTCAAGCTGAGGCGCCATCCAGCCTGCACGATTTATTTTATCACCCTTTATTGTGTAACTGCAGTGAACATTACTTTCTTTTTACATTTAATTAAAAAGCAGATATTTTTAAAAACGTTTATTAAAATCACTGACTTTACATGTATAGGTACCCAAAATGTTTAATGTCACCTTCATCGTAAACTTCTGTTTTCTTCATCGTTACAAATGAAAGATATTTTATTGCATTTTAATTTTCAAATGCATGCATAAAGTACAAAAACGTGCGAGCCTTACAGTAGTCGCGTATGATGTGTAACATTTGAAACCTCCGCGCGCTTAGCGACTTCCTGTCACACACTTCCGTCCCATTTTACGAAATCACTCCCAAAAATTGCAGAAAAGCGAGAGGAAAGATGTTACACATCAAAAAAAGAAATAAAATCTACTACACAAAGAATAAACCATTTGAACATTATGTTCTAAAATCAAATCAAATAGCGTGCTCTTTCGCGATATCCTGTTACACACTTCCGTCCCATTTCACGAAATCACTCCCACAAATTGCAGGAAAGCGAGAGGAAAGATCAATAATGTAGTGCACATTATAACGTCATAACGTTTTGGAGACCGATGTATATGAAGTACAATAATATTTTTAAATCCAAATGCTATGTTAATGACTTGTCACGACATTATGTCGTCCTACTCTTTAGGATTTGCATTCACGAGTCTAGACGAAACGACCGTGTGTTATTGTGTTGTCGATACGCTCGTAACGTAAGTTCGTATTCTTCGTATTCATTAAACGCTGGACAGTGGAAAAAATCATAGACTATTCCATTTTATACCTTAATAGCTTGTGATCGATCTTGAAGGTATTAGTTTACCTACTTAGAGTTTTCTTCTGTTTTTGGGGGTATTTTTTTTAGATAGGACTGCATTAATTATTACAGCTCGTTTACACAAACAAATACATAGTTAAATTCAACGATAAATGAAAATAATTAGATAAAACACGTCGACCTTGCTTTACAAATAGTAAAAAAAGTAGGCTTGTATAATAACAATACTTAAAAGGTACAGAGCTCAGCTGGTAGCAGATAGACATATGATTACTCTGAGAGATAGACACTCAGTATCCATGCTCAGTAGAGACCATGGACCAATTGTCATACCGAAATTCTAAGCCCAAGGAAGCATGAAATCCTAGTTCCATGACAGAGAACACCTCAAGCGGATAGATGTTTAATTTTTTTATGGTTATGTTCTTAATTTTGTTCATAGATGGATCTCTTTTTGTTCTGAAATAATGTTGTAAAGTTTCAACAGGTACTTTATAATAGTTCTAATTTGGGTTTATCTTAGATTAAAACAAAAAGGAAAGATACGGTACGCTCATTATTAGTGTATTAACACTGTAGTCGTTTGACGCCCGTGACGCATTTCCATTTCATCTTTTCCATAGGATTTTTCCCTTTACACCCAGTCCGAAAAGAAGTTTCACTTCAAAAACGATAGTTTACCTTTGAGGAATCATCAGTCAAAAATAGCAGTTTGCGTATTGAAACCAAATTGAAACACCGAAACTGCCATTTTCACACAAAAATCAATCTCTAACTGCGGAACGGTCTTCCCGCCAATACTTTAAATTGACGGATCGGAGATTCAAACCAAAGTTAAGTTACTGAAACTTTTTTTGCAATCCAAAGATTATAATCGACAGTGAAAAAGCAAAATTGCTAACACGCCGCTTTGGTGCTGCTTAAAAATTAACCTTAAATAAATATTTAATAGTGAAATTTAGTTAATTTTTAAGCAGCACCAAAGTGGCATGTTAGCTATTTTGCTTTTCCACTGTCGAAATTCAATCGTAGATTGGAGTTTTCGGATTAAGATTAAATATTGTGATCTGCCATAAGTGGGATTTAGGTTAGATTGAGATAGTTGACGTGTTTAATTGATATTTTCCTGTATTGGGCGGCGGCGGCGGCAGCTTGTGGGAACCTCTTTCGGTCCCACGCTCATTAACTTGCGCTTATGCCAATTATGACCTTCGCAGACTCTTCACCCAATGGAATTCAATTTATCAATGAAAGCATTGTTGTTGTTGTATGAAGTGATTAGACTTGTTAAATACTAACTTGTCGCGTCGTTGTTGTTTTGTTCCACTTATCTATCTTTTGTTCTTATCTGGCAATGAAATGCCGATATAAAAATTCAACAACACATAACTGACTTCATAAGAAATGGAAGGAACGGCAGCTTTTTATTATGTAACAAATAAAAAATATACAAAATTATAAAGAAAGAAATATTAGCCTAATCATTTTAATTAACCCATCAAAATACTGTGTGTAATGAACATGCAATGTGTACAACACAACACTTTTAGGTAATAGTTGAAGTTGGTTGGTTGGTCGTTGGTTGTTTAATAGTATGTATGAAATTATAGTTGGACCTTAAGAATATTTTTACATGTAAAAATATTCTTAAAAAACTAATTATCTTTAATATTTATACACTAAAATCTGAGTTCCATTTCTCTGGCGCCGGAGGTGGGGAAATTTTGTTTGGGATTTGGCGATTTCCTTTCTTCTTAATCGGTTCAGCGGTTAAGCGTGAAGAGGTAATAGACAGACAGAAAGACATATTTTGTTATTTATAATATTAGTATGGATTGCTTATACAAATTTCTATATTGTTACAGCTCGGGCGATGCGGTCGGGACGCGAGTGGCGCGGCGTTGCGTAATGCGACGCGCGTGCGGCGTCACTGGCGGGCTGGTGGCGGCATGTGTGCTGCTACTGGCCGGTAGCGTGCACGCGGTGCCCACTGTGCAGAAACTGGCGCCAGGAAGTGAGTTCCTTGATGTATTCAAATTTTACGAAAATGTAATTTTTGTCCTTTGCACGTGTTACTTCCTTAGGTCCTTTAAAAAGGACTGAGTAGGTCGACAAGGAAGATGGCATTATTGCTGTTACCGTACCGGCCACTAGCGTGCATGCGGTGCTTTCTCTACGTACGGTGCAGCAGATTTCCTTAATTTTTTTTACACTCATCAATTAGCCTAGCCCCAAAATAAGTACTGGAAGGCTTGTGTTATGGGATGCCAGTGTAACGGATATACATATATTATAAATATACTATCTGACACGGCGAACTTCAGCGCAAGGTATTCATTTGACATTGTGGGTTACCTACAATGGGAAGAGATGGCGCGGCATTGCAGCTTAAGATAGGCTAGAGAAAATTCGACACGGTCGTCAGGGCCGCGGTAGTATAATTGGTCAGTGCATTCGCCCGGATAGCGAAGGGTGCTGGTTCGAGTCCCGTCTGCTGCCTGGTCCGCGTGGATGTTGTTGTAGTAAAATTTTCTTAACATTCAAATATCTAGCTTAACTGCTAGATATTTGCTTAAAAATATAAATATATAAAAATATCTATATTCCTATGTTACTAATTTGTCGTAAAAGTCAAACAAATCTTTATTATATAAAAATGAATCATCAAAAGTATCCAAACATCACTTCCGAATGCTGAACCAAATTGGATAATTCTTGACACTGGTGACATTTTCTTATCAATAACTTTGAAAATACGACGAAAAATCTTTAAACACAAATCAAAACACACTTGAACATACCTAAGACCATTGTAATACCATTTTTCTGTTGCAAAACAAGCAGTAAATGTAATTTGACATCATTCCGTCTATCTTGACAGTCAGCCTATTTTCTTATAATGATATCATGATGAGGTTTTTAGATAGCCAGTTAATTTTAATTAAAAGTGATTTCAAAAAAATATTATGTCGTCTTGTCTTATCACAGCACAAAAATAATTATAAATTCGGTTCAACCGTTCATACTTCTCGACGATTCATATAAATACCCATATATATAAATTTTATCTAGATATATATATAAACATCTATGACTAAGGTACAAATGATTGTATTCATCATACTAACATTTGCCCCCACCGGGACGCGAACCCTGAGTAGGCGACGCCATGAAATGTATATACCACTCGGCCACGGAAAATGGAATTCTTTGCATTTTACACGTATTACTTTCTTCCTATTATCCGGGGTTCTTTGAAAGAGTGTGATAAAGGAAATAAGGTCTACAATGAGAAGGACTGGTGTGATGCGGCAGGTAAACCTACTGCCTACTGCCTTAGGTCCACTTGCAGCAATTTTGCTAAATCTCAATAAAACTAAAACAAGTTAAAGCCCATATAATAATGTCAAACTGAAATTGACGTTTTGTCACTTTTCTATGTGATGTAAGCTTCGATCAAAAAGCTGACCTAAAAAACGATAAAGCTAGTTTAAGTCGAATCAAGATGAGCAAATTGACCTTAGGGCACAGCGGTGACACTCTGTGTACGTGAGAGTTCCAGCGTCAGTGACCTTGAGCAGGAGCGTGTATGCGCTAGGGTTGAACTTGGAATTTAGACTTGTGCCAATGAATATTTATGCATAGTAAGTTATTAAATGTAAACTGATTCAAGGATACTGGGGTAAATAATGAAGGATAGGTTTGATTTTATAATCAATTTTTAATCTTTTAATGTAGGTACTATAACAAATTGCTAACTTTTATATATTTTCTCCTTTTTCGATTCGTTTTATAATTCTTATTATTATCTATATAATAATAAGATTGCGTAGCGTAGTCAGTCTGTGCGTGCAATGCAGTGCAACGCTATTATTTTACTATTTCGCTACTGCCATCCCTTCGGTCTCGGCAGTCGGCGACTGCCCCCTCCACGCCCCGCGCGCCGCGCAACGCCCCCGCACACCTCCAGACACCCACACATAGCCGCGGGCGATTTTACGAGCACACATGCTTAAGTGTCGCTTCTTTTCGCGTAGTGTATATATTCTGTGCTTAGGGTGCAAGTGGACCTTACGGTCTGGAACCTTCTTATAAAAATAAAATATAATGATGATGCTAAATCGCCGCCATCTATGCAAGTCGCGTCACTCAAATTGTGTAGCATTGTACTTACTCTATTTCGCTAAGCCGTAAAGTACCTACTTAATTATTGGGTTATATTTACTATCCGTGACGGAGGAAACTAATGTTTGTTTTCCTCCTTTCACTTTAGACTGATTTCGATCCGATGTTATTTTTATAATAGAATATCATAAAACAACAAACTGACGTCTAATTAAAACTTTCTTTGTACAACACTTCCTTATTTCGTGACAAATTAACAGTAGCAACGCGAACCGTCAAATTTAAATTATTGTTTACTTTTTATTTCTGTTCTCAGTGGATGATGTTTGGCATTATTTACTTACAATATGATGAATTATATAGAGTGTGTTAGTGAATAGAGTAGATAGGGTAGAAAAAAGCGCGGTCTAGCTTCGCTCTATTAGGGTTCCATACACTGTACTAAGTTTTTATTTTATGAATTTTCTGACAGGATTCTTATGATGGTTCTTACGATGTTATCGTGTTATTGAAGCTACCTAATTTCACTGAATTATGAAAAATATAGAGATAAATTCTTTATGGAACACGCACACCTAAAAAAATACAAAAAAGAAAAGAGAAAAAAATAGTTTGTTTTCGTCACAACTTACAAAGCACATTATGAATCCGTGTTCCAGTATCTGCTGTTTAAGAAAAGCATTATTGGACATCATGTACTAAAGTTTCACATTCTTAACTAGTAGTTACGATTTTGAGATACACCCTATAACAAAAATGGTCTAAAAATAACAACTATGACAGCCCCCCATTTCTTTGTTATTGAAAATAAATATATATATATATATCCTACTCAACGAACTCTAGACATGCTGGAATGAAAAAAGAAAAAACACGGTCGTCTTCTTTTCATGTAAAAATAATAATTTAATTGAATGTTTAACTAAATAGTCGGCTTTGTCGGCAAGCAAGCATTCTACATAAAATACCAGCATTTCAGTTCTATAACTTGTTCTGTTTTAGTGATGTAACGAATATTCGCATTCGCATTCGCGAATATTCACATTCGCATTCGCAAAATCTCTGCGAATGTTTTGCGAATATGAATATTAGAAAAAAACAATTTGAACAAGTTGTAGTTCTGCCTTTCCTTGAATACCTATTCATTGTTACAAAGTTTGCATTTAGCTCGTTCAGCATCGCAAAATGTGAAATAAGTCCATGTTTCACTAGAATTCGATTTACTCATGTTAATAAATCACTATTACCACTCACAATCACTAACCTCAAAATTCACTTGTTTTGTTTACGGAAAGACCGGTGCGAACGGAATGACACTTCAGTCGGATGAGTTCATATCAACTCGGCAATTCGAACGAGACTGCCACCATGCCATAGACAATTGGCGCCAATTTAAAAAAAAACTATATATTCGCATCCGCATTCGCATTCGCGAATGTTCAATAAATGACATTCGTTACATCACTATTCTGTTTACGATCTAGAGACCCGTGACATACGGACAGACTGATAGAAAACAGAGTGACAGCGATAGCGTTCCGCTTTTACGCTTTGTGTGCGGAACCCTAAAAAACGGGAAATGTTTACTCGATCTGTTTCTCAGAAGAGTTGAGGAAGGAGATAGTAATGATTTATCTCTTTCTGAAGTAGGCCATTGGTGTAGGTCGAAGCGTGCCGGCGTGAGAGGCGGATGGGTTGGCTCAAAGTGACCAGTGTTGTAGGCAGCGCGTATAAACAACGCGCACAGCCGCAGCCGTTAGTACACCGGATGTTAGCAAAAAACTTCCGCGGCCGTTGATCCGCATGCTGAGGGGCCACTTGTGGGCCGAAGTTTTGTTTTTATCAGTTTTTTGCCATAGGTATGCCGTTGAACTCGAAGCGAGAGGTGTGCTCAGTACCGCTCCGCCGTTTAATTCGGCATATCATAATGGGTACTTGCGCGAATTGATGTTGTTTATCTGCGAGCCACGATCAGTGAACCTGATAGTCATCCATAACATTAACTATTTTTAGATATAGTTTTTTGATTTAAATGATGTCCTCTACTCAGTTTGCGATTGCGTAACCGCTATACTAGGTACTTTTCGAGGTGTCATAAGTCTGGCGCCCACTTAGTAAAATATAATTACACGTCTGGGTATAGTAGCAGAAATAGGGTAGCAGATTTCCTGCTCTAGTTGCAGAGACTGCCTCAGGAATAGGGTTACCATCCGTCCGGATTAGTCCGGACATGTCCGGACTTCTATACATTGTCCGGAAATTTAAATTTTCTGGATTTTTGAAATCACATTCAATATGCATAATAAATGGACATTTTGATTTAAATACCATACCATTGTAACTAAGTGAATAATGGTATCATTTTGTGACTAAAAAGTCCGGACTTTTTTCAAAATGTCAGGGTTCTTGTCAGGACTTTTGAAATACCTAAACGGTAACCCTACTCAGGAAGTAACCTACGCCCTCCAGAAGACTACAGTGAAATAACATTACCAGTTGGTTTATGTTTCTGTCGTTGAGTAAGGTTTTAGGCTCCACGGGGTAGGGGATGGGTTTAGATTAAAGTATATGATTCGCGTATGATATTCTGGTAGCGCAATCAGCAAGTGTATAAGGCTATTATGGTCGAACGTGCTGTAAACTTGTTTGCCAAAATTGTTATATAAAAATCTTTCATTTTATTACCTACACTCAAAGACCACATTAACTTGATCTTACTAAGGAAATCCGTCCATCAATTTTACTGTAGCCAAACTGTTATATCAATAAGCTATAATAATACAAATGAGCTTAATGAAAACTGATGTTATTTGAAGAGTATCATATCAAAACAACGTGTTAAACGTTTCGTTTAAAATAACTAAACAATACAAAGCGCGTTTTGCATGT